ATACAGATAATCATATTATGCAAAACATTGCCAAGTACGTAATCCGCGGTTGACTTTCATCATCTTAACTGTTGAATAATGGTTCACATTTTTAATTGTACATCACATAAATCAGACACTTATAACGGAGTAGTTATATGGTCCTGAACATGATAGTAACAGTCTATGCTTAAAAAGATACCAAAGTACAGCGTTTATTTGTCGACTAGCAGCGGTGAATACAGGGAAAATGACCGTTAAGAATAATTAAATCGACGAAAACTTGCCTAATTTAGAATTTCACCAGGACATTGCTGGCGGTCGTTTAAATGAAATTAAGTGAATACGTGATGTAGATTTTTATTGAACCTTTCGTTGGCTTTTATTAAAATAAATAAATGAAGTTCCACAGGCATTAATGATTACCAAATGTGGTAAATGCCATGTGGCTGATGATTTTTGGCAACATTTAAGAAAGGTTGTAGTAGTATATGTATAAACATCTAATCTTCATTTAGAGTGTTTTGGGAGTTGCACCCGTCTTACTCAGGCAATCTTCTATATTAAAAGCTGCGTTTATGAATGCTCATCTGTTTGTAATGGACTAAGTGGATAATCTGTGTACCAGACCTGATAGCGCCGGCAGCGTTTTTTTCAGTTTTACGCTAAACCCATTATTCGATCTTGCTATGGAACACGTTAGTCCATTTGTGCTTATTTGTAGAAACGCTGAAGATATATAGCACAACAAAACCTTTATGTAATTTTCTTTAATTTCTGCTTAGAGAAAGTTGTATATTAATGCAAAAATACTATAACATTCTTCCGCATGAGTTCCAGACATTGTAGACATTTAATGCATATCAAGCAGAGAAATAACATGTGGCAAACTCCGAAAAATTTTAAAGGACTATTTGAAAACAATGTTACTTTATCTTCTGTGAGCGAAGCAGAAATTAACACTTTAAGTTACCAACTTCATAAAAATCCAATGTTAGATTATAATATAAAAAAATTGCACTGCCACTGATCACCACTTCAGTGATTTTCTGACAGTAATTATCAATAACTCGTCGTCTCGAAAAAGCAGTAGCTCAAGTTGTGCGCGGCGCGGCGCTTCCACTTCTACTTCAGAATTCGCTATTAACAGGAAAACTGTCAAGGGACTTTTTTGCCTTATATGCCCGACGGAAAGCCCTTGGCATACTTACTGTCGTTAAAAGTGACCGTATGAGTTAAATATCATCCTTGTGTACAGTACCGCCGAGAAAGCTTCGATGGTAGCAGTCTGCTTCAAGGACGTTGAAACATGATATATTCTACGAATTAAATCAGCAAAGTAAGTCAACATATGCGGGACTTATTTCGCATGCTTCCATGTAAAGTTAACCCACATTGTTTTATTCATAAACAACAGACATGAGGAATATTTAAAGACCGCGTCCTACGAATCCATCCTTGTCGCCAAAGAATTGTGACTTCTGAGTAGATATTTCCGGACATAGGAGAATACTTAACCCACACGTGAATTATTTATTGACCTACGCGCTCTCGACACTAAGGTAGAGACAAAAACGTCGTTGCTCCGAGTACTGAAATTTCGAACAACGCTTCAAACGACGGAGTAAAGATGCCAACCGTTTTATTCCAAACACGCCTCCGTCGCTAAACCAGCCAGAAGTAGTTCAAGCAGCCTCCCGTCGAGTTGTGCAGAGCCTCATTTAGGCAAATCTGTCTAAGCGTTGTGAGACGCATTCTTATCCTCTCGACTCCACCTCTCTCCGTTTTGGATTGCCGATTGGCCCTGTGCGCACTCTATTACTGACTTCGTTTATTCAATCCCTCAGGTTACGGGAAAACAGGCGACGGACGAAAAAGCACTTTCAATCCTCACCTATGATCTCAAATTATGGCCTACGGACATTGTGTGACGGAAGTTCTCACTCAGATAAGACATCATTTCGAGGTCGCGGTGTGTCAGAATTGCCTGCATAAAACCACGTCAATTCAACTGTGCTATCTGGCATCTTGGCAAATACAGTGGCCATAGGAGCCCTGACTTCCATCGAAAAAACAGGCATTCTGGAATTGGTTTAGGTCGTCGGTTGTTTTTCAAAAACGTCCCCATTAGGAATACGAATAATAGTGTAGTACTTTCTAAATTGTATTTAGTTACACTAAATAGTCATGTTTTTGGAACACAATTATTCGATTTCAACACCATAAGTAGCATTAATTAAAACCAGACAGACAAATCATCGTCCGGAGAGTTATCATATCTCTTATCAAGCTATCAGCAACACGGTGACTGACAATTTTTTTGATTTTTTGGCCGAGGGAGTGTGGTATTTATATGTCACAGTTCACATGCAGACAATAGCCAAGCTCATGAAGTGTCAGCTGACATTCTTAAACAAGTTGGGCTACCGGATACCTTAGTGGCAGCCAAGGTAGTGGCCGACGTTTCAGACACGTGTTTTGCCGATATTCTGCAACTGAGCGTATCAGAAACAAGGGGTTGGTTACCTAATTTGGTCTACCGGCATCCAAGTGCTTTGTATTAGGTAATTCAATTCAGAAGTTATGCTGTTTGGCTGCGGCCTAAATATTCCTATTTCAGTTCATTCTACGGCTAAACGTTTTTATTATATTCTTGAGAAAATTAAAATGTAATTATCAAATGCATAGTTTTATGGACGGAATACATTGAATGGGGTTGAATTGTGAATAACATGTCAACATAAAACCAAAGTAAATTCAATACCCTAAAAATAACATTTGATTGAATCGCTAAAATGCTCGCAAAAAAGAATTCTTGATACAAATGGATTAAGAATAATAGGATTTGTTACATTGATTGATTACACTGATATCGTTTATAGAGGCCGTGGTCATAGCATGGCCACTTGTGCTCGTTAGATAGTAAATCATGCACTTTGTACATTTGCAGACGACATAGTGCATTTTTTGACTTTAAAAGGTAATGTGACGAATGTCTTATGTGTGGGCCACGCACTGATTGCGATACGTCTGACTACGTATATGATTTAGATAGGCATGTAATACTATGGGTTATAATCCAATCGGTGATCTTCAGGTTACTGCACGTGTTGCACATGGACATTTGCGGTGGAGGCCAGTGTCTCGGGACTTGTGTTAAAAAGTGGGAGGAGGGGTTATATGTTTGGCGGGGGATGCGGGGCGGGGGCTAAACATAAGCGTGCTGTATTGACTATTTGAAGACTGCTCTGTAATTTTGAATTCATTCGTCCAGCAAAATGGACCCTGCATTATTTTATGACCGTTTTCAGATTTATGCTATTTTACAGTTAGCAAAGACGACGTTTTTCGAATTGCCGTCGATTATTTTAAACTAAACTTAAGCAAATACACAAATTTCCACACTATTTTAGATTTACTTCTCATCGAAAATCATCATCTAAATTAGTCAGGGCGTAGTCGTCAGTTTCGAGTATTCACTAGAACTATGAGATTCTTAATCTTAGGAAATAACATGAACGCTTTCTTTGAGGCCAGCTATCACGTAGCTTTTGAGGTAAGGATGAGTTCCGCCAGAAGCCTGCGAAAAACCAAAAATTGCGGTGTCCCTACGTCGGATTGAGGTTAACAAGGTTTTCAAGATCGACGAAGTTATTGAAAAACCTTAAATGCAGTCTGTGATGGTCAGAAATGTTGAGATTTTAGTCAAGGCCCACTTACATTGGTTTACTGATGACTTTGTTGAATATTTTGAACAGTTAGTTGTAAACATTGCCTACATGATTAAAACTACAAGATTTGCAGTTTTGGTTGATCTATCTAAAAAGCAGATATGCATTCCTTTTGTTTCATGTAGCCCAAAACGTCCTACTTCTTCAACTGGGTTTGTGGTGAGGTACCTGACTAATTGACCTTTGACAACTTGGTCCCTTTTTCTTTGACCGCATTGCTTGTTTGAATGTGACGTAAAAACGACACACCTGCACTACCCGCCTTGCTAGCGTGCTCTGCTGTGGTATTCTGTTGTCAGTTTTCTTAACGTTCTAAAACCCCTGTATTATTCACTGCTCCGATTTACTTGCTGCATTTAAGGCTACGGGGGGCGCGTGAGATATAACTCGTTAGTTCGTGGGAACATTACAATTTACAGCATTGGTGACCCCGACGTGATCGCAGACTTTATACCTTTCTGTCATACTGGATAACAGTTAACGTACTACTTGCTTGCGAATATCTATTCCATTAACATTTATTTTCCTCACGAATTCTGATACTATGTCTCACGCCGATCAACAACTTGATGCCCCCGCTCAGTCCCTTCATGCAATCAATTTTACCTAGCCTGAATTCTGGCAACACGCTCCAGAACTTTACTTCATCCGCATAGAATCAGCCTTTTATTCTGCCAACGTTACCAAGGAGCTAGCAAAATACCACAAACTTGTGGAGGTTCTCCCTGCCAATATTATCTCACAAGTTCAACCCTTGTTAGTGAAACCCCCTGCAGACGCTCCCTATTCTGCTCTGAAGGCGGAAATCCTTCGTCTCAATGCTGTATCCGACCGACAACGCTACCACCAGTTGATCAAGGAGGAATCATCGGACGACTGAAAGCCCTCAGAACTTCTTCGACGAATGCGTACTCTCTTAGGAGACATGCAGGTCGACGAGAAACCCGTTAAAGAGATGTTTCTAGAGAGGCTGCCTGCAGATGTCCAAACGATTTTGGCATCCGGCTCGCAAGACCTTACACTTTCACATCTTGCTGAAATGGCAGACCGAATGATAGAGGTTCAACGGTTCCAGCCACCTTCCATAGCTCAGATTTCCACATCCTCTTCAACGGTTAACGAACAGTTACTGCAACAGATGTCGACTATGGCGAATGAGATAGCCTCCCTAAAACTACAGCTTGCTCGCATTACCTGTAGTCGCTCAACCAGCCGTCATCGTTCACGTTCGCGATCTCGCACAGCCAATTTGTGTTGGTATCACGCAAACTTTGCCGCCAAGGCTCGCAAATGTTCTTCCCCTTGTTCCTTTATACCGAAACAAGGAAACCAATCAGCCAGAGAATAGACGCGACCGTTTTCTCTGGCTCTCCCAGCTCTGGTCGTACCTATTATGTCTGCGACAATGTGACTCGCAGGCGCTTCCTGGTGGACACCGGAGCCCAGATCAGCGTGGTTCCCCCCACTCCAGTTGACCGCCGCTGTCCCAGCCCTGGTCTACATCTCCAAGCTGCAAACTGTTCCCCAATTTCCACTTTTGGTAGTCGTTCTCTAACGCTGAACATTGGTTTACGTCGATCATTCTCCTGGGTATTTGTGATTGCCGATGTGCCTCATGCGATCCTTGGTTCCAACTTCCTAGCCGAGTTTGATCTCCTTGTTGACTGTCGGCGTTCCTGTCTCCTCGACCGCACAACTGGTCTTTATGTCCGCGGTCTTACACCCTTTAATGACTCCTGCAATTTATCTGTTCTGGATACAGGTATTGCTTGCCCATACCGAGACCTGCTCCTCCAACACTCCAACATAGTCAAACCCCAGTTTCGCAGTGGTGAGATCCAGCACGACGTTGTCCACCACATTCGCACCTCTGGCCCCCCAGCATTCGCACGGCCTAGACGACTGGCTCCGTCCCGTCTGCAAGCGGCGAAGGCCGAATTTGAGCACATGCTGCAACTGGGCATAATTCGCCCGTCCGAGAGTCCATGTGCGTCCCCTCTGCATATGGTGCCTAAGGCAACATCAGACGACTGGCGGCCCTGTGGTGACTATCGCGCCCTCAACAATGCGACCATCCCGGATCGTTATCCCGTCCCTCATCTTCAAGATTTTGCTGGAGCTCTTTTCGGCAAATCGGTTTTCTCGAAGATTGACCTTGTTCGAGCCTTCCATCAGATTCCTGTCGCTCCTGAGGATGTTCCCAAAACTGCCGTTACCACACCATTCGGCCTGTTCGAATTTATTCGCATGCCATTTGGTCTTCGCAATGCTGCCCAAGCATTTCAGAGGTTCATTGACCGAGGCCTACGTGGTCTCCCGTTTGTGTACGCCTACATCGATGACCTCTTGGTGGCCAGTCGAAATGCCGAGGAACACAAAGAGCATCTTGCTTTAGTGCTTGACCCCCTCGATCAGTTTGGCGTGGTCATTAACCCTTCGAAGTGTGTTCTGGGTGTGCCGTCCCTTGATTTTCTTGGTCACCATGTCGATGCACAAGGTTTGCGTCCCCTCTCTTCCAAGGTTGAGGCCATTCGTGACTTTCCTCCACCAACCTCCAAGCGTCAGCTGCAACGTTTCCTTGGCGTGGTAAACTTTTACCGCCGATTCCTACCGAACTGTGCCGACCTTATGCTGCCGCTCACCAACTTGCTCTCTGGTCCCAAGGGTCCCCTTGAGTTACGTGGCCGCGCGCTGACTGCATTTGAGAGAATAAAGACCTCCCTTGCTGATGCTACCTTGCTCACTCATCCTGCTCCAGACGCCCCATTGTCCCTGATGGTTGATGCTTCGACCGTTATCGTAGGAGCAGTCCTCCAACAGCATATCAACAACTCGACACGACCGTTGGCATTCTTTTCCAAGAAGCTTTCACCTGCCGAGACGAGATATAGCACGTTTGACCGTGAACTTCTTGCCATTTACCTAGCCGTAAAACATTTCCGACACTTCCTTGAGGGTCGTGACTTCACCATTTTCACAGACCACAAACCACTTACATTTGCCATCCGATCCCATTCTGACGAATATAACCCGAGAGAGATTTCTCATTTGGATTACATCTCGCAATTCACCACCGACATCCGCCACATTGATGGCCCGAAGAATGAGGTGGCTGATATGCTGTCCAGACCCTCACTGTCTTCCCTCCAATTCACACACGGGATCGATCTTTGTGCCATGGCGGCTGAGCAGCAGCGAGTCGGTTGTCCTGGCGACGAGTCTGTTAGTGGTCTCCAACTGAAAGACGTTCCTCTGACCACCGGCTCTGGTACCATACTTTGTGACGTCTCAACTCCCTTTCATTGGCCATTTGTGCCCGCCTCGATGCGTCGAGCTGTATTTCAAACTCTGCATGGACTATCCCACCCTGGGATCCGAGCCGCTCAAAAGCTCCTCGCGGAAAGGTTTGTCTGGCCTGGCATGAACAAGGACGTCAAAGCTTGGGCCCGGTCGTGTCTGAGCTGCCAGCGCAACAAGGTGCAGCGTCACAACAAGTCCCCACCAGGCATTTTCCCCAGTCCCGACGCACGGTTCAGCCATGTGCACCTGGATGTCGTAGGCCCTTAGCCTCCATCCAATGGTTTCACCTACCTCCTTACCTGTGTCGATCGATATACTCGCTGGGCTGAAGCTATTCCTTTGCCGAATGTTCAGGCTGAAACCATCGTGAAGGCCTTCGTCAGTCGTTGGGTAGCCATGTTCGGTGCCCCATCCACGGTTACGACTGATCGTGGTGCCCAGTTTGAGTCGGCACTCTTCCAAACGCTACTCAATTTTCTTGGCTGCACATGCATTCGGACGACAGCCTACCACCCAGCTGCCAACGGTATGGTTGAACGTTTCCATCGCCAGCTAAAGACCGCCCTTCGTGCCGTCGAAGACCCAGGAAACTGGTCGGACAACCTTCCTCTTGCACTCCTCGGCATCCGCGCAGCTCTGAAGTCGGATCTGGGCTGTAGCGCAGCTGAATTGGTTTTCGGCACTACCCTCCGACTGCCAGGCGAGATGATCACCCCAACCTCTCGTGGAGCCGACGAGACTCCTGACAATCTTGTGCACCGCTTGCGGCAATTCATGCGCTCGCTTTCCCCGGTTCCACCTCGAACTCCTACGACTGAGTCTTATGTTGAATAAGACTTGGACAACTGTACTCATGTGTTCGTCCGGTGTGACCGTGTGCGCCAGCCGCTGGAATCACCTTACGAAGGACCGTTCCGTGTGCTCGCGCGCAACGCCAAAACCTTCCGGATTCTTCGCAGTGACAAGGAGGACGTGGTCAATGTCGATCGGGTCAAGGCTGCTGTTGCAGAGGAGCCGCCGGATCGGTCACAAGGACAAACATGTGCTGACCCCCAAACCCCTGTTCCTCCATCTTCCTTATCCCCTACTCGTTCACCCTGTCCACTGCCTTGCCCTTACCCTCCCTTGCCCTCCACACCTCCGTCCCGCGTACTTCCTCTCCCTACATGTCACCAGCATCCAACTGCAACACCATCGTCCACCACAGCACGCAGTAAACCCTCTTCGACTGTACCTCCTGCATATATAACTCGCAGTGGCCGTCACGTTCATTTTCCCGATCATTTAGTTACCCATTTTTTCTAGACTTGTGCATATCCTCCGGCGCCGTATCCCGTCGCCCTCCGGTCTAGAAGGGGGTTGCTGTGGTCAGGTACCTGACTAATTGACCTTTGACAACTTGGTCCCTTTTTCTTTGACCGCATTGCTTGTTTGAATGTGACGTAAAAACGACACACCTGCACTACCCGCCTTGCTAGCGTGCTCTGCTGTGGTATTCTGTTGTCAGTTTTCTTAACGTTCTAAAACCCCTATATTATTCACTGCTCCGATTTACTTGCTGCATTTAAGGCTACGGGGGGCGCGTGAGATATAACTCGTTAGTTCGTGGGAACATTACAATTTACAACAGGTTCGTTTTGTTGCTGCCGAAATGTTACCCCGCACATAATCAGCTGTTGAAGTGACCTAGCAGTTTGCGTTTTGGTTTTTCTTCCTTGGTTGGCATACGTCATTGGGGAACATATTGCAGTCTTCCTTGCCCTTGCATGTACAGACCTGAAGAAAATATATCGAAATCAGACGTATTCTTGACAAATCGCCTTTTAAATGTGTCATTTATTTCATTCAGTTGCTAAATATCTGCGCTGCTAGGTATGTTTAAATCAATGGATATATTTTTCTGTACTGTGGTGCACTCGTGCGTTTTTGCGTGTTTCAAATTAAATATTTGCGACTACTGATAAAATTGGCCTTTATCTAGAAAGCTGTCTTCGTCTTGATATTGTGCTACTAAAGTATAATTTGTGTCCAGTTAAACAAAATCAGTTTACACCGTAACAAATTTGCATGATGCTATTTGCACAATGAGTCTTCTAGATTGAACTGAAATACGCGGGGCGCTTTTCAATACGTTTTTTTACGGCATCATGCTTGTGCTGGTGTGAAACGGTTAATAAAGAAATAATAGATTTATTGAGTAAGAAAGGTCATTTTAGTTTAAAACATATGTTTGTTTGGTTACAGGTGTATTTTCTCGCAAACACGGTACTTAAAAATGACGACGTCGTCCAGCGGGATCGAGGAAAAAATGCGTCGGAAAATCACTTTATCACCACACTTTTTATGCAGAATAAGATAATCTGCCGGAAAGAATGCAATGAGACGTTCTGTGAATGTCAGCAGTCGATCCTGGTAAATAACAACGAAAGAAACATCTAAATACCGGCCTAAATCTCCGATATATGGTGTTGGATGACCAGCGACTCTTTTCGTCGCAAGAGTATCTTGAAGACGAATCCCGAAATCGGATAACCCACAGATGTGTTCTTTACCTGTTCGTACATATTCCTGTCGAATGTGATATACGTTATTAGCCGCAGCTGCAGAAGCTAAAGGAGTTAAGCATGTCAAAGACGATTCTCTGTTTCATCTTATTTGCTTTGCAGAGGCAGCTCGATCGTTTTCATCGTCATATCCCGGGTAGAAGAACTATAAACCGATGTAACACTAAAAGATACCACGAACCCATTCGGATGGAGACTTACCCTTTTGAGATTCTCTGGGCAAAGTTGACCTACTCAGCGGTCACGATGCTTTGACGCGAGAACAGGCAATTTAACGGTCCGTAAGTGGGAGTGCCATTAAGCAAAAAGACGGACGGAGAGGAGTGTCCTCTTTGCGCACTTTAGGAAAGATAAATAAGTGGGCTAAAGCCGTAGCGTGGGGTCTCACCATGTGCCTGTCGGTCGGTGTTATTACACTTGAGTACTCCAAGGCCAACAACTAGAATGAATTTGGCGTGTCAGCGCTTCTACATCGTTCGTTGTACATGGGACCTAGAATCGTCGGTCCTTAACTAAACATTTGGCTTTTTGAAGGCAGTCTGTCCTGTCCAGTACAACCGTGGATTCGCCCGTTGTCCGCTGGCACATACCGTAATTTGTGAGTTTTGCAGCTCCTTGTTCCTGAATCACTCTTATCTCTTGTTGTCTGGTATGATGGGCACGGGCAGGAATTCGAAACGTCAGGCGAAACAAGCTCTTGTCCCAGTGTTCATGTCTCCTTCTTTACGACGGTTTCCTGGTACTCGTATCTTTGCTTCTGTAAACAGAGTATTTAATATATTCGGCCCTCCCTTTGCTACTCATGTGTATACAGCGACATTTGTTTGCACACTGATGCCTACTCTGAACCTCCCCTTATTAATCCACAGACATATTGTTGTTTCGTCAGCTGTCCTTTATAAAATTGAGCAAGCAGAAACAATTAAACAGGACGCATAAATCTTAGATTATGCAGCAAATCACGACATGAGGCCTTGATATACCATTAATTTAGGTGTTTACAAAAACTGAACAGTTAGTGCCAGGTGAGGCCTTGAACGTAATTGTGAGTATGTGGTTATATTAGGTATTCAGCGCCAAAAATAAGTTGCTCTATCCAGATTGCGCATCAAATGCTTCCACGTGTTTGTAATAGGCAGTCTTTCTGATAAACATTTCAACAACGCCTGCTAAATCTTTTAGCTTGTTAGTTATCTGATCATTCCGAACCTACTTAGCAGTCGGCCAAATGTGTCAAATTTTGCCAATTTCAGACACCATAATTATTCGAATTGCACCTATGCAATGAATCGGCTTACTTGCTATACATGCAGGAAAGTCGGTTTCAGGTTTACTTATAAATATGTGTAGTTGTTATTGTATGGTTTTAAGAGGCCATTACACAACGCACTAAGTATAAAACCACGCACATCCAACCTTGAAGAAGAAAGACACAAAGCCTGCCACATTTAGGTAAGCTTTGCAAACAACCCGCTAGTCTTCATTGTAAAATGCCTTTGAGTCACATTCGCCAATTTTTAATCGCACGAGTTTCAAATTCTCCCAAAATCGATTTTACATCTCTAATTCAGACCAGCTGTTGGGCCTGATTCCTTAGGTGTGAACTTTCATATTTACAATTCAGAACGTAATTACTCTCAACGGGAGACCATATTGAACTACAACTATAGGCTTTTTTCCATTGTGTTTCTATAGACAAATATTCATGCGATGAATTATGTGCAGTCTTTAAATCTTCGTTCCAGTTCTCGTTATGATTACATGATAAACATGTGAATTTAACAATTATTAGAACAAAGGATTATTAAATTTAGCATATTTTGGATGTGCAGCCCCGTGAATTACCTAAAACCTGAACCACATTCAAGCGTAACAGGCTCTTCGCTGTCTACGATTTATGTATTCAAGACAGCACATACGTCAAGACTAAGTGAAAGGAGTCTATTCTAAGAGAGAATGTCGTACGATCATTGCGTAACATGTACATGTGATATTGTTGTTTGGCTTTGTGTTCAATTGTGCCGACTGCAACTGAAGCAAATATGTCGCAGTATTTTCCAAGATACGCTCGTATATGCGAAAGGTTGGATTTGTACCTAGTACTGAAATACTTAGTCACCCTTTTGAAGGCCAACGGTCATTCGAAATGCTTTTTAGGCATGTGCCTTGAAAGCCTCATTTTGAACTGCCGAGTGGAGAAAGGTCGTAGTTCTCGATCTCAATACCCCATGTGAAGAAAGTTTCAGAGGTGACGATAGACTATAGTTCATAGACCAGAATCCATTATCGGTCGGCACATCATGAAGCCCAAAGAGCAGCCACAGATAACAAAATATCCAGCGGTAAATTACAGCATACTCTGCCTTAACTGCAATGCTAGCTATGTGGATGAAACCGACAAACCCCCAGTACAAGATTTCACGAACATCAAATTGCAATTAAAGGTAAGCATAAGCAGTTTTTGGCTATGTCTGCATATGCAAGCTGACTCATACATTCGCTTTTGAGAAAGCGGATAGTTGGTAAACCATTGAAAAGATACACAGACTGAGTGCTCGAAATGTCGTCTTTGGTTGGCACATTTAATCGAGATTCGGCTCTACATCCCGCCTACTAGACGCTGCATACTAGGCTCAGGTCAGTCTGGACAAGACCGATATAGCTGGTGGGCAAACAGGACCGAGAGTCGACGCTCACAGAACTGAACAGATAAAGTGGCCAGAAGTCATGCAACGATAGTCGAGCACTAGCCCGTGCTTCCGCGAAGACGAATGTTACTCACATGAACAGCAACGACCGATAAATCTACCGGCTGTTGTGGGAGAGGCCAAGAAGCACGTAGATTTAGCTACCACAACGCGGACACCAAAGGGAATAAAGGCCAGGTAGGGCCGTCAGCGGTTAGCCCCGAGGAAATTTAACAAGCGGCAAGTAAACTGTTGTTGATTTTATCAGCGTTCGTCAATCTGAATATCCCCATCCTTTAAAATATTTATGTGAATAACCAGGGGTTACAACAGGCGGTCCCTCCTCAACCAATTCACAGTATGGTTTAGCGGAGAAGCGTTACTTGCTTTGGCCATGTTCTATGCCGCCCTTGTTGAGGATCATCAACATATTAAATTAAAGGTTCGGGACAACCAGCCACTAGAAAATAGGTACGAGCAAAATTAGGAGCGCATTATCCCGGAGGGAAACTCCTAATTTGGCTTTCCACTCCGAATTGATTTCCGATTAAAGTTCTAGATTCAGGCGTTTAAGGAGGCGTTA